ATAAAATGAAAACAAAACAAAATTCTGTTTGTCCACATGTATAGGCTATGCTTTGTATATGTATCAAGTAATTTATAGTACAATTCTCTGGCATAGAAGACAGGTTTACGCTTTGCTTAGCCAAGCCTCACTTATTGACAGTTGGTTTTAATGTTGAAAAACTATAAAACTAAAAGAGAGCAGGCCACTACACTTAAAATGATTTTCACTTCTTGACAGCTATAATATTAAAATCTTTGGAACAGAAGATGTGCAAGCTTTCAGTCTGAACTGTTTTTCTCCATACTTTCATATTTTTCAACTTCATCAATTCAAACTTTTTGCTTAATGGTACAAAGCAATCATTGCAAAGTTGTTATTTATTTTTCTCTTGACAGCCCACTGACCGAAGGCAAGTTGCAGCAGGAACCCAACATGTTAGGCATCATCACATTGCTTAAATATTGTACTGGGAAACCAAAATGCTTCAGCAGTCATTATTGTAATGCAACTAAACTGTGATTGGCTTCTCTGCATAATGTAATTGACACCTGACCAACATGAGCAACATTTCAGTGAAAACATACACTATGTGCTCTATTGTGCTTTTTTGTATAATGAAAAAAAAAAGAACTGTGAATTTCAACATCTAAGAAAACATGCACGTCTACTGAGCAATTTGAGGTTCAAACTATATCCATCACCCAAACTGAGCTGTTTAGAATTGCACTGAAATCACTGCGGAGATCGGGATAGTTCTGATAATTAATTGGTAACATGAGATAGCATCCACATGTGTTTGCTTGAGGACAGCACCGATATTCGCTGGTTTCAGTGACGTTGACAGTGGTGATGGGCAAAGCAGATCTTTAGATATTACTGAATCACTGGAATCAGTTCATTTAAAAGATTTGTTCAAAAGATTCGTTCACCGAATTGTTCAGTGCTTGGTGGGAGGAGCTCTGACTGTGTACTGTGTAGTCCCACTCACTGAACTGATACACGGCTGAGCTGCTGCTGCGTCTGCCCTGCACTGGTGAGTCTCATTACTGGCCAGACTAACGTTTTAAGTTTGTTTATCTGGAAACTAAGTCTGTTAAAACAAGTGTTGCAGAGTCTTGATCTTACTCTCTCTAACAAGTGATGTTTTCTGTCCAACTTGTCTCCATCTGATGACTGATGTTCACGACAAAAGGCCACAACTGCTACTCTGTCACCATAACCGGGTATGTACTTGGCAAGATCATGATCCGACTGAAGCGGAATCACAGCGGTATCAATCTGCAGCAAAAAAACATTTAGAGGGGTTAGTATAGGATAGTAAAGGATGTGAATACTAGAATAGCCAAATAAATCTATTCAGTACAATGTTGAAAAAGAGAAACAAATCACAGTAAATAGAAATAAAGGATCAATTCATTACTTTTAGTCAGCAATATACTGGCTGGTAATAGTCTTTATTTCATAGTAGTATAATAGTCTTTATTGAGCTGCTGTTTGAGGTCCCCAGATCCAGGCTTAAAACTAAAGATGGCCGAGCGTTCTCAGTGGCTGCTCCAAAGCTGTGGAATAGCTTGCCACTTCATGTCAGACACGCCGATTCATTGGAGACATTTAAGTCTTCTTTAAAAACTTACTTTTTCTCCTTAGCTTTTGGACCTGTTGTGAGCCAGACTTGATTTTTCCTGTGACTCCTGTATTGTTTTATGTTGATGTGTATTGTATTGTATACTGTATTTATGTATTCTAATGTTCTTATTATATGGTACTTTTATTGATGTTCTTGTAAAGCACTTTGGTAAACTTCAGTTGTTTTAAATGTGCTATAGAAATAAATGTGACCTTGATCTTGACCTAATTTTCTTCCTCTGAAGTTATTCAGATGTTTTCATTAGGTTAGAATATACAGATAGCCCCTGTGAATCTTTCTAAACAGATACAGTTGTTAGTCTATGTCTCTGTGAATAACCATCTTTAGTGGATAATTAATTTTGATCCACGGTGTACAACTTTTAAGTCACTTTTAAGTTGTGGCCTATTGATCATGTCAGCTGCTTTTCACAACTCCATTCTAGTTTTAAATAAACCAAACATAGTAGCACCTATAGAAATCTTAATTTTTTGCTAAAATCCTAATAAGGAACATAGTCCCTGTAACAACTGAATAATATGCTTTTGTGATCCTAATCAAATCTAATATAATTTGTTTGTTTTGTGTTTTTTTAGAACAAATGAATAACATTAGAGAACAGGCATGAACAGTTTCTTTCATTTGAAAAAAAAAAAAATCTGAAGTGCATGTCTTTCTTTGCATGTCTGCATGAGTTCTTATCCATCCATTTAAACCCATCTTACATTATCCTCAACAATTTTCGAGATGATGGCCTCCTCAATCTTCCTTTTACAAAAGAAATCCAAAAGATTAGAAGACTCCATTTCCCTAACAATGAAAGAGTACGTATGAGTCAGTGACACTCATCATCAAACATAAACACATATGCCAAAAAAGTAGAGCTAATGCACGCCAAAGTGTCAAGAGAGCACAAGAGAAGGACAAAATGCAATGTTTTCAGACTAAAGTAGGTTTTTGCTACAGATAAGTTCTGCAAAGAACCAAAGGTTTTCACTGAAGAAAACTGAAGACGACCATCACATATAGGCTATTACACAGAAAGCTTGTATAATTTACCAGTACAAAATCTACTTGGTATTCTCTCAGCAGATTATATGCCTGTATTATAACAGATACTATCCTCATATATTGTAAGAATATTTTGCCATTGAATGTTCAAAACGTTATCATAATGTCCGACAGGCTCTTTCTAGGCGGACATGAACACTTGGGTAAAACGAGCGAGTCAGAGAAAGCTAACTTCAACCAGCTCACCCACCAAAAACATATAAATTTACTATTCAAATAGAGCAATGAACGCCGCCATGTTTCAAACATACCTGAGAAATCAACAAACTATAAACGCAACTTACCCCCGTGGTCTTTAAAGCATAGGCCTATCATGCCTTTACTGTACAGATAGACTATTAACCTGTTCCCTCAAGATAATTATCTTCTACGCACCAGATAATAACTTGTTCCCTAAAGTTAATATCTTGTGTGCACAAGATTAAAAAAACACCTTTTGGGACTTTAGGGGCTCCACATTAAACACTTGGACTTGAGCTTTTTGACTTGAAAATACTCGATCCCTTCCCCGAACTCTGAAGATTAAGAAGTATGTTATGTAGAAAGTGTGCCTCTTTTTGTCCATTCATTTATTACTTGAAAATTACAGACAGGGATGCCACAACTTCCAACAAACCTGTTTTAACAAACAAATACAAAATTAAAAAGCATTTATGATTTTTTTTGTAAATTTGATGTATTATTACTCTGTTGTTAGAGCCTGGTCTCACTCAAAAATCGTCGAAATCCAGCGCTTAAGCAGTGATTTGCGGTGTCAGAAACTAATTAAATGGCACCTGGCTGCATCTGGGGGAAACGCGGCGGGACAAGGACAAAAGTTAAGGTGGTGAAAGTCCATCTGGGGCAGGTGGGTCCAACAAACACCGACTTTTACCCGAGAGAGCGGTATTCGTGTCCCACAAGATTCTAAAGCCAAACCCTGCTCTTTTTTCCTAAACCCAACCACGTGCTTTTGTTGCCTGAACCCAACCATGTGTTTGTTGTTGAAGGAAAAAAAAACATCAATTTGCAGTGTTGTCCTTACGTAGTGCATTTATTTTGAAAGAGGCTTCATGTAACATTAAATTTCCTGTGAAAACAGAGGTGTATTTTGAAAGAAGACAAATCAATGTAACAGGCAGAACTTGACAAAAACAATGACTTGGTCCCACTTTGAACAGTTTTAACAGTATGAAGTGTGAATAGCTACACCACCATATATAGCCTATAGTGTGAGCAAGAAGGAACATGAGCAGGAGTTGCCACAATATAAAGTGCAGGTAAGTCCATTTCCATTAAAAATGGAAGACAGATTTGTATTGCCAAATTAAAACAAATAACGTTTTAAAGACATGCATGATTACACACAGGAGGAATGCATTGTTGTTGTTTTTTTTCAAAATGAAAATACAAATAAATAAGACATGGAATATGACCTTCATATCCATTAGAANTTTTTGTTCAAAATGAAAATACAAATAAATAAGATATGGAATATGACCTTCATATCCATTAGAAATTAATAAAAAATAAAGGAATGTAGCTACAGAAAATATTTTTTTTATACTAGATAATAAATGTTCAGATTTAATAGTCCTCAGCCTCCTCTCAGGCGCGTACTCATGTCGATGGTGCTGTTGGCAGTGACGTCGTAGTCCGCCAGTCTGCCCTCCCTCATCTCTCTGCCCTGGTGAATGAGCCTCTGCTGGCTCACCGGGACCCCCTCTCTGCTCTGGACCTTGCTCTTGAATAAGGCCACAGTCTCGTCAGCTTTGATATCATAGGTGTTCGACTTCCCCTCGAGATTTCTGACGAACACCTGGATGGTCGGCGGCTCGATCACCAGCAGCGACACAATGGCACCCGGGTGCAAACCGTAGGAGCTGATGGACATTACGTCATAGCTCAGGTGAGTCTTCTGACCATTCACAAACATCAGCTTCTGCTTCTCACAGGGGACTCCAAACTTGTCCTGGATGCGTTGTTTCAGAGAGCCCACTGTGTCCCCTGGGTGCACGCTCAGTGTGTGGGAAGTCCCGTTCAGCATAACGATGGTTATATCCATGATGAGAGAGGTCTGAAAGATGATTCAACACGTTATTAAAAACTACTCCACTGTAGAAAAACTCTGTCCAATCGAGACAAAGAGAGCTTCTCACCTTGTGTTCACTTTTATAAATTCCTCTGCAAATGTCTTCGTCTTCAGGTGGTGACAGGATATCAGAAGATGTTCAGCAGCAGCTGACTGAGGTTTGAACTCACCTCTGTTTATATAGTCTCAGCCTCAGCTGCTGAACTCCCTCCCCTTCACTAAGATTCGTTTTCCCTTCTCTGCCCTCATAACTTTCGGTTTCTGTTCTCCAAACATGACTCCACTGATAATGGGCACTGCAATGTTTTGATCACACCTAACACTGCCCTAGGGCACCTTAATGGATTTACCACCTGATAATCCAGTTTGGAAACAGCTGTTAGTATGAATGACCTACAGGAAAATTTAACCGGGGACTTCCACTGTAGATGGGCTGAAAAGCTTATGTAACTAACTAACTAGGAAAGCAAAATTATTTCATCAGATAAATGTGCCTGACAACACGTCATACTCTATTTTTAACCACTTAAAAAAGTTTTCTACAGAAACAAAACAGAGAGGGAGAAGATTAAATATTGTTTTTTTTTTATTAGAGTCAAACACTAGAATGAAAAGAGGATAGATACAGATCATAACATACGTCACACATTAAAACAATGTACTGCCATTGCATAACACAGGCTGCCAACACACTGCTCACTCACTGTTTTCATGACATGATACTGAAACCAAAGACAGATGTATCCACACAGCAGGTGTCAAATGAAACTGAAAAAACTAAATGCTTGACAAGCAGTTTTTTAGTACAAAACAACTTCCCAAATGAAAAAGTAGTAATAAATATCATAACTCTGAGTGTTTCAGCATGGTGGTCCTCTCCTCCCGCTTTGGTAGAGGAACATTTCCTGTGGTGAGAAAATGAATGAGTTAAGGATTATCATCTTTAATTTCAGGTTAGATTCAACTTTGTCATTGCATAGAGGATACAGTATATGCTAAATATCAAATACTGAATACTACTGCCATTCTGCCATCCACTGAGCACTTGTTGCATTTTAAATACTTCTATATTTATTAATTTATTGCATTTTTATCACTCACTGAATGTCCTGTGTCTTGTGTTTTTATGTTGTTAGGTGGAATGCGTCACCTGAGTGTCACTGCTAATTTCGCTGTATGCAATGACGATAAAGACTTTTCTAGAAAACAAATAGTAGTATGAAAAAGACATATGTAGTGTGTGAGGTGTGGACTTGAGTAATCAAATTTGATGACTAGACTTGACAAAACCAAAAAAAGACTTGCAACTAGACTTAAACACTTGGACTTGAGCCTTTTGACTTGAAAACACTCGATCCCTTCCCCCAAAACCAAAGATTAGGAAGTTATGTAGAAAGTGCCACTAATCAATTTATTTCCCTTCATTTGCTGAATCATCTATTCATTCCCAGCGAGTCGACACTTATTACTTCCAACAAACCTGTTTTAACAAACAAATACAAATTTTAAAAAGCATTCATAATTTTTTTGTAAATTTGGTGTATTATTTCTCTGTTGTTATCCAGCGCTTAAGCAGTGACTTGCAGCGTCAGAAACCAACAAAAAAGGCATCTGTTAATGTTGGCACAATACGCGGCCGGTTGCCTTTATAGTTTAATGGCACCCTGTGGCATCAGGGGGAAACGTGGCGGGACAAGGACGAAAGTTAAGGTGGTGAAAGTCCAACTGGGGCAAGTGGGTCCAACAAACGATTTTCACCCGAAGGGGCTTTGTTCGTGGCCTAAACCCAACCATGTGTGTTTGTTGTTGAAGGGAAAAAAACACCAATTTGCGGTGTTGTATCGACGTAGTACGTTTATTTTGAAAGAGACTGTACGTAAACATTAAATTTCCCGTGAAAACAGAAGTGTATTTTGAAAGAAGACAATGCATGTAACAGGCAGACCTTGACACGGCGTCCAAGAACGTCAACAACCAAAGCACCCAGGGTACCTTGCACATCGTATGTGGACATGGAAAGTTCATGACCAAATGTAGATAGGTGACAAGGTCGGAGTGAGAATGTGTTCGTTGTGAAAATGGTGAAGAGCACATTATGTCTTGTTTACGATTCAATACTCAAAGTTTAGGACTTGAGACTTGTGTGCAAATACCTGAGATGTACTTGTGACTTGCAAAACACTGACTTGGTCCCAGCTCTGTAGCTACACTAACATATATACAGTGTGAGCAGAAGGAACATGAGCAGGAGTTGCCACAATATAAACTGCAGGTATAAGTCCAAGTACAGACAGTATTATAAATATGAATACACTGCAGGTAACAAAAATACAGTGAGGTAGCTGTATAATATGTGAGGAAGGAGTGTTTATGGAGCCCTACAGGTAAGTGTTTGTCATGTGTCAGTAGTGCGCCAGCAGCCAGTGAGGCAGAGACAGCCACAGTCTAAGTTTATTCATAAAATATTTATAAAACCCGCTTTATTCATTTATCGTCTAAATAATAAAATCAACACTAATGTTTCAAAATGAATGCTTTTAGGTTTCGTCTTACCTGGTGCTGCCACAAAATATTCTTCAACTGTGTTTTTGGAGAGCTGAAGCAGTTCTTCAGCACAGTCGCCTTCCATCACTGCATCCTCCCTCAGGTTTAATGCCCTGAGTGTACATGGATAAAACATAAACACAGTTTAAACTGAGCTACGGTTCATTTCTACGGTTTGGCTCTAACCATGATGAAAAGGCCCACCGGCAAATAAGATGTTTTTTATAAATGTGTACACCTTACCTGTCCTCCAGAACCGAATCCATAGGCTCAACCCCTGACGTGTCGACGACATGTAGCTGATCTGCAAATCGTATTGCTTTCTCCAAACAGGCCAGTCCCTGTTTGGTGCGGAAATCAACCAGGGCCAGTCGCTCCAGTTTGTCCACCAGGTCAGCAGGGATTTGGGTAGGCTGTAAAATTAATGGCATATGCTTAGACATGTATGTATGTATGAAAGTTTCCTTCCACCATCTCTTGAGAAGGCCTTTAAAGCTTCAATGTGTAGGATTTAGTGACAGCTAGTGGTGAGGTTGCAGAACTGAAACTTCTCCTGTGTGCCAAGTGTGTAGGAGAACGCAAACGGCTCTATCTAAAGTCCAGTGTTTGGTTTGTCTGTTCTGGGCTTCTGAAGAACACCATGGAGGACTTCTTGGACCATGGATGTATAAAGAGAACTGGATACAGCATTGGACGTGGGCCCCTGTTCATTTCTTTGAAAGTTGCTCAGTGGTGCATGAAGCCAAAAAAGCTCAATTTCTGCAGTATGACATTCTGCATTGCTGGGCCCATAGATCAAGTGCAGCAGAGACTTGTGGCTGCTGAGCACAGCTGAAGGGCTAATTTCCGCTGGCCGAGCGGCCAACATCTGGTTCAGCCCTTGTTAACTTGAATGGGGATATAAATGAGTTAATCATGCGGCTCATCTAGACTTTCTAAATGTTATTGGACCAAATGGATCAAATCTCAGTAGTGAAACAAATCATTTCGTGAGGGTTTTGACATTAAATAAAATGCATCCAGTGATTTAAACACTTATTTGTCACAATGTACAGTACAGGCCAAAAGTTTGGACACACCTTCTCATTCAATGCGTTTTCTTTATTTTCATGACCATTTACATTGTAGATTCTCACTGAAGGCATCAAAACTATGAATGAACACATGTGGAGTTATGTACTTAACAAAAAAAGGTGAAATAACTGAAAACATGTTTTATATTCTAGTTTCTTCAAAATAGCCACCCTTTGCACTGATTACTGCTTTGCACACTCTTGGCATTCTCTCCATGAGCTTCAAGAGGTAGTCACCTGAAATGGTTTCCACTTCACAGGTGTGCCTTATCAGGGTTAATTAGTGGAATTTCCTGCTTTATCAATGGGGTTGGGACCATCAGCTGTGTTGTGCAGAAGTCAGGTTAATACACAGCCGACAGCCCTATTGGACAACTGTTAAAATTCATATTATGGCAAGAACCAATCAGCTAACTAAAGAAAAACGAGTGCCCATCATTACTTTAAGAAATGAAGGTCAGTCAGTCCGGAAAATTGCAAAAACTTTAAATGTGTCCCCAAGTGGAGTCGCAAAAACCATCAAGCGCTACAACCAAACTGGCACACATGAGGACCGACCCAGGAAAGGAAGACCAAGAGTCACCTCTGCTTCTGAGGATAAGTTCATCCGAGTCACCAGCCTCAGAAATGGCAAGTTAACAGCAGCTCAGATCAGAGACCAGATGAATGCCACACAGAGTTCTAGCAGCAGACCCATCTCTAGAACAACTGTTAAGAGGAGACTGCGCCAATCAGGCCTTCATGGTCAAATAGCTGCTAGGAAACCACTGCTAAGGAGAGGCAACAAGCAGAAGAGATTTGTTTGGACCAAGAAACACAAGGAATGGACATTAGACCAGTGGAAATCTGTGCTTTGGTCTGATGAGTCCAAATTTGAGATCTTTGGTTCCAACCGCCGTGCCTTTGTGAGACGCAGAAAAGGTGAACGGATGGATTCCACATGCCTGGTTCCCACTGTGAAGCATGGAGGAGGAGGTGTGATGGTGTGGGGGTGTTTTGCTGGTGACACTGTTGGGGATTTATTCAAAACTGAAGGCACACTGAACCAGCATGGCTACCACAGCATCCTGCAGCGACATGCCATCCCATCCGGTTTGCGTTTAGTTGGACGATCATTTATTTTTCAACAGGACAATGACCCCAAACACACCTCCAGGCTGTGTAAGGGCTATTTGACCAAGAAGGAGAGTGATGGAGTGCTGCAGCAGATGACCTGGCCTCCACGGTCACCGGACCTGAACCCAATCGAGATGGTTTGGGGTGAGCTGGACCGCAGAGTGAAGGCAAAGGGGCCAACAAGTGCTAAACACCTCTGGGAACTCCTTCAAGACTGTTGGAAAACCATTTCAGGTGACTACCTCTTGAAGCTCATGGAGAGAATGCCAAGAGTGTGCAAAGCAGTAATCAGAGCAAAGGGTGGCTATTTTGAAGAAACTAGAATATAAAACATGTTTTCAGTTATTTCACCTTTTTTTGTTAAGTACATAACTCCACATGTATTCATTCATAGTTTTGATGCCTTCAGTGAGAATCTACAATGTAAATAGTCATGAAAATAAAGAAAACGCATTGAATGAGAA